TATATATATATATATATTTTTTTTTTTTCTTATTGCCTTTGCCTTTCTATTTGACCATAAAATTTTAAGTAAGGGAAGTTCTGTGGAATGCTTCTGTGACGTTGGCCATGCTTATTCATAGAGATAAATTGAGTTGTAAACAGGAAATTATATTGAGAGTTACCAGTAATGAGTGGGAAAGAGGATATTACATTTTGGCTACAGGTGTCTCAAACTCAACCGAGGTAAAGTGTTAGGTTGATCAAATGATATGATAATAAGTGGTCTGCATAGTTCCAGGTCAGTGACACTACTTTCCAAACTAATTAGATTGAAAGGGACATGATTGACACTTTAAAATGAGTTTGACACATAAGCTGCATGGTCATCTCTGAAGCATAGGTAGGCTGTTAACTAAACTGGCTCTCCAAGGAGTTGGGAAGGCAATGTAATTTTCTTTAGAAGATCTTTGCTTCTAGGTGATTGAGTGAAATAATTGAATGAGATTGAAATCTCCTTGTTTTATATATTTGAATGTACTTATTATTACATCCCTAACCTCTTATTTTCCATTTGATATTTACTTATTTAGTATTAAAGAATGGGAACATTTGCATATCAATCAAATTTAAAATAGCTTATAGAATTTTTATAAAACTTTTCATTATTGCTTGCTTTTAATACTATGTCTGAATTTATTTCTAATGTAAGAATGAAGCTTCATCAGTAACGTGTGAAGGAGGAGGAAAGTCAGCAGCATATGAATGAAACAAGGTTCTACTCTTCCTCTTCCTCACCCTCTCTACCTCCTGCTCCTCCTCTCCTTTCCCCCTGTTCCCCTCCCCCTCTCACACATACTCACACTTAGAACTAGCCACAAAGATCTGGATAAAGGAAGTCCTTTGTAGTCAACTGTTATGACAACAGATGCTCCAGATTGGGTTAGGGACATGAAAATTATGAAATACAAATGAAAATGTCTAAATATATGTGCAGAGTTCTATCTATATCTTCACTGTTAGCTGAGAGAATTTAGCTAATTGTAGGTCCCTTTTATTGTTATTGCTTGAATTTAGATTAAAATTTTATTTTCTGATTTGTTGGTAATTTTGGTATCTTCATGATTTTTGCCACTATTTAAGACTATGCCCACAAATTTTTCTGTTTCTTCTGACTTTTAGTTTTGAAGGCTTATTCCCTGGCAGTGTGCTGAAATAATAATTTAAAAAAGCCAATACTGAACTGGTAGATGGCAAATTAAAAGGAAAAATACTCTCAACTCACCAGGTGGGGAGACTTGAGTTTCTGTGGGCCTGCTTTTTCTCTAAAATGAATCATTTGGATTAGGCAATTTTTAAAATTAAATTAGTGTCAAGATTCTGTGATCCCCTTTTTACAGCAAAGCAGCTTCATTCTCAGAACAGGTCTCTTGCTCTACAGAGTATGTTGAGAAGTGAGATCTCAAACCTACTGCTCTGAGCAGAACAGGGCAATGGCAGAAAGAGTATTGGTGAACAGCAGTAGTACCCAGGTTTCAAGAGGCCTATATGTCAGAACAGGAGGCCTTGATCAGGCTTGATTTGTTGTACAAATAAAAATGGGCAGAAATTATTTTTTAAAACAGCAATAACAATGGGAGGATTTAATGGGTAGGTGTCTTAGTCCATTAGTGCTGCCATAACAAAATACCTGAGTCTGGGGAACTGATAAAGAAGAGAAATTTATTTTCTCAAAGTTCTGGTGTCTGGGAAACTCAAGATCAAGGTGCTGGCAGGTTTGGTTGTCTTCTCTCTGCTTCTAAGATGTTGCCTTAGTTGCTGCATCCTCTGCAGGGGAGGAAGGCTGTGTCCTCACATGGCAGGAGGCATAAGGGCAAGAGACTGAGAGGTGGGTGAAGCTTTCTTATAAGGGCCTTAATCCCATTGACCAGGGAGGAGCCCTCATGGCCACATCATCTCTTAAAGGTCCCGCCTCTTAATAGCATCATATTGGCCATTAAGTTTCTACACCTGAGTTTTGGAAGGGATACATTCAAATCACAGCACTAGGCTTTTCTCAGTTTTATGTTTTCCTGTTTCACATATTTCTTAAGACTTCATCATCTACACCTACTCTTCAATAGCGACTGAGAAAAGTAGCAAAATACTATTAACCGAAAACCTCGAAAGCAGCTGATCACATCCACTTTGACAATGTGTATTATTTCTGGGTACATGGTGCTTGTGGTTGTGATTTTCATATTGCTTGTAAATGTTGACACCTAGAGGGGCATTTTTCTGGTTCAGGTGATGGAATTAAACATTTAACTATTTCATAGTGTTTCATTAAGAGCACTAAGGGCCTCTTTGCCGACCAAGTTTGAAAAACATTGCTAAGTTGTGGGCCCATTGCTTATACAGAGATGAAGACTGAACCAGCCATGTCATTGAGAGTGTGGGTTGGCAAGATGTTTTAATATGTCTTTAACTGTGGGTTACCTGAGACCGGAGAGTATATAGGTGTGAACTTCATCAGACTCGTTTTAAGCTCTGTTGATTCATGTAGTTACAGAGTACTTTCATGTGAGTTTATTTAATCCTCACAACAACATTGTAATTCTATGAATATGCAATTATCTAATTATAAATGAAGAAACTGAGGCACAGAGAAGTTAAATGAAGCTGCTGCAGTCAACCTGTATATGGTAAAACTAAGATTCAAAACCAGACATTCCAATTCCACAGTCCATGCTGCAAACCCCGCTATGCTATTTGACCTCAGTAAAGTTTTCTGAGAAAAAGGTAATATACTGGCCATTCCAACATCACATGAGATGTCGATGGTGTTGCAGCTATCAATCAGGCAGAGATCTTCTTCTGAGTTTACATTTGCCTTCTTGAAGCCCTTCACACAACAGTTTTAAAAAGAATTCTCACAACTGTGCTCTCTGTTCATTTTCCTTCCCTTCTAGACTGTACATTTTTGAAAAGGCTGGTGTGAGTATGAGTTAATTTTTTATTTTTTTAATTTACGGTGGTGCCCAGCATAACAGCTTCAAAGTTTCCCATCAGCTAATAAGTGATACAATGCTTTATTCCAAACCACTTTATACTACTCTTCCTTGAACCTAGCACTAAAAAATAAAATGCATGCTTATATTCACTAAAAAATGTTCTTTTAAGAACATTTTTGCAATGGAAGAAAAAAATACCCGTGTGGGAAAATATTGTACATTTTATTAAAAGGTTACTAAATTAGAAGATTTCTATTTATTTTTGTATAATTAAATATTTTCATACATACTTTAATTTTCTGATTGTATCACCCAGGTGGAGAGTTTTAAGACTAAATGTTTAAGATTCTTGACCTTTGAGATAATTATAGTATAATTTTAGTATCATATAGTATTCAAATTGCCAAAGGTTTTCATTAGACTCTCAGATACTTTTCTTATCATAGGAATGATAAATCCTAATGTGTTGTAGGTGTGTCCATTATAGGTATATATTTTTGTAAAAATTAAGTTTCAACAAAAATACTTTTAAAAAAATTTCATATTTTCAGGAATATTTGATAGTTAATTTATACTCAATACTTGATATTTTAGATTTAGTACTTATAGAGAGAAACATCTCCAATCCTAGCATATCATTGAACATAAATGCTGAACAAGGCAGGAAGAGCATTGTGTACACAGCAATAACCAGGATTGTTTCATTTTTAATCACATAGAGAAGGCAGTATGGTTTAGTGATTAGAACACAGACTCTGGAATTAGTCTGCTTGGATTCAAATATTAGCTTTACCACTGACCAGTGAT